TTTTTTTTTTTTTTTTTTTTTTTTTTTTTTTAAATAAACTAATACTTACTACTTGTAATAACTACTATTCCTACTTCACGGTTTTTCACTTATCACGGGGCATCAGGGTGCGGATGCCCCACGATAAACAAGGGACTGTATCTGTATTCGAACATAATCTGCCTTGATTTTCAAAACATTAACTGCATCTTTTCACTAAAATTGGTGATGGAGAAAAGTATTATTGCTTTATCTCACTTACTCGAAAGGAGCCACATTCGACGACAGGAGAAGAATTTTAGCCAGGATTTTATTTGCAAGGACAGATTTTCGGGACAGGCTACACAGATATACAGGAAATACACACATGAAGACCAGTCACGAGAATCTGCCATGAGCAGTGTGTGAAGTTTGTTCTTATACGCTTATCAGTTCAGCCGAGCTCACAGACTCAGAGCCGTTCTTGGAGTGACAGTATCAGCTTCACTCAGCTCCTCATTCAGCTTTCTACTAACCCAAACATATTTTTCATGGACAGAGTTGACATTCTCAGCCATAGTAGTTAAAAACATATATACACTTTGACCAAAAAGTCCCCTAACAGTTGGTAAAGTACACTCATATTAATATTTAACCCTAACTTTTAAGATTGATGTATGGTATGATATGGTATGGTATAAAGTTTATTCATTTTAAAAAATACAAAACAATTCCATAAAAATATAAAAAATATACAAGAGATTTCAAATGAAAGGCAGCAGTAGAAGAAAAAATTCTTATTATATCTGCCCCTTTTTTCAAACAATTAGTTCAATCACAATAATTTTCAAGTAACAGAACAAAATGAATAACTCTTTTTAATTTTTCTAATTCTAATACAAAAAACACACTAAGCTACTTTATACATTTTTTTTTTTTTAACAATTCAGTTGTGATCTTTTTCTTAAATGTGCACATTGACTTGGTATTTTTCACATCACTCTCTAGACCATTCCACAATCCAACTCCTTGGATTGAGGTAGACCTTCCCTTCAGACTAGTTCTGAATTTTGGTTTGACAAATATCTCTATCCCCTTAAGATTATAACAACTTTGTCTTTTAACAAAATTTCTTTGGATATTTAATGGTAATGTGTTATTTTGAGCCCTATACATAGCTGATAAAATACTGTAATCTACCAAATCATGGAACTTCAATAACTTCAGTTGATAAAATAATGTGCTTGATGGGTGACTGTAATGCTTTCTGGTGATAATTCTTACAGCTCTTTTCTGTAAAATAAAAATAGGTTTTGTAAATGTTTTACACGTTTTCCCTCAAACATAAATGCAATAGATTAAATGTGGAACAATGATT